CATGCCTCATGTGGTTTGAAATATTATTATATTCCTTTTTGCAAATCTAGAAATAAAGTGAATAAATAATCCAAGGTCAAAAACGTTTAAGACCCCTAAAATGTGAAGGCACGAGAATGACAGCTGTATATTTCTGACCTATTCCCCAGTTAACACCTATTAAGATGGATCTGCTATAATTATAATTTAAAGAAATGACTATTTATCGCCAAACTGATATAGAMTTATATAAGCATTAATAATCATAAGAGCTTTAAATTACAGTATTACTTTATAATTGTTGTATAAAAACTAATCTTAAACGCTTATTAGCTTTATACTTACACTGCATGGATATTTATAAACCTTTCGATGTATTTCTTCTCCATTCTTCGTCTCAGCCTTCTGTGCAGRATCATTTAAATAGTCCATAATCTTACGAGACTCATTGGACATTTTCATTTTTATTACCTCCGATGACATTCGAGCTCGAGGTGCAGGTATTGAGCCCACTTCTCTGATTCCGTGGAAATGGCACACTAGATTTTCCATGACACTAAGAAAATTGCTCCTATACGACAAACCAATCTCCTTTGCCACTTTTTTTTCTTGGCGAAGTTGACCGACAAGGTCAATAGCATCGTATCCAGATTCATAATGGAAATACATTTCTTATCTATAAAAGCGATATCAGAAAGTTAATTAAAATGATTTCGTTGTGGCTGAATGTCACTGACAATTTAAAAAAATACAAGTATTTTAAAGGCCGCAATGCATTAGTGTCCATAGACTAGTACCCAGTCACTGGTTTCATTTACTAGTAAGGAAATGGGGTTCTGCTTGCAGTATCGGATATATATAGAGGAGTAAAGGATAGGATACTTTTTACATGTTTAACCGGTAGAGTGTAAAAGGTAACTTTATGGGTGTACAGTATATGGGGTTAAGCATGGAATCCAACACGTGTTTTATTTGTTGTATAGTTATTCTTTCGTCTTATGTTTACTATCAACCTAGAATTAATAACATCAAATTTTACAGGACAAAAATCACATTTCACATTGAACATTGAAGAACCAATCACGACATACGACATGCAACTTGTATTGGCTTTTGACTTTATTAAAAAATGATAAGACAATAACACAAGCCAGGGGCGGAGAAGATGATAGGGAATTAATGGGGGCTGGGGGTCCGGGGCTGGAGCACATATATTACAAGTACATATATTTATCTGCCACCTTGATCTTTAACAACTGCATATTATCCGTATTAACCAGTGCCGGCGGTATGTTCATCCAATCAAAAAGGTAACGAGTTGCGATAACGAAATCATGTGCTAATCGCGACTCATCCGTAGAAAAGTKAAAGTATTTTAAACACACTTTCCTTAATATCTTGGGCTATAAGAACACATTAAACATTACTTTTGTCCATAAACGACAATTTTATGAAGTATATTTAATAATCTAAACCAGAAAACTGCAAAATTACAACGGCGGTGTATGTACGCGATGAGGCTGCTCTGCCACATAGTGAAGTGATATGATACTGACCCATGTATAAGTTGAATAAATTCAACTATTCAGCTCGCATCATAACGTTCCCTCGCATACCGAATTATTCAACTAAACTGTTCCAATTAGTAGTACTAAATGCCTATGTATTAGATCTACAATGAAATCCATTATTTAGGGCATTAAAACATTTCTGTTGATTTTTTCGTGGTAATTTCGACACGTGTGACAATTTCGTTATAATGTGCTAATTTCGTTATGGCCGCAAGAAGGTTGATACAGTTACGTTATAGCGACTTGTGCATCTTGGTATAATATACAAAATAGGAAATTGAAATATAGAAGTATATTTCTTTATTTACAGAGATCTACTGGCCCTGGTTGTACACTGAAGCTTGGATAGCGCTGTCCAGCGGATAAATCCTTATCCAATAGGTAAGTCGATATGTTTTCCAATAAATTTATCCACTGAATAAGATTTATCGGTCGGATAGCGCTATCCAGGCTTCGTACAACCGGACCCTGGTGTGTAAAATTGTGTGTCCAAACGATGGTAGAACTGTAAGGTGCGTCCCGACATGTTCCATCAGCAGGCAGTAGATAGGTGCATAATGTACAGACTGACGTTTGCAGCCAGGTATTACGTACGTAGATTGCGACATGATATACAAGATTCAGTTTATCCATTGAACACATTTCCATGGTAACCCATCATATACCCAACGGAAAGATAGAGCTTTCCATATTCCGTTCTATTCAGACCCGTAAGAAGGGGAAGGGGCGTGGGGTCCTGCCCTCATTCCATGGTTTTGTGTTGAAACGGGGTTTATTCATCTGAATCGAAAAACCACCAGTATGATTCTAGAAACTGCGTAAATAATTGTCTTAGATAAGCTATTTTTTATTATTAAAAA